ATTTATCCTAATTACCACCATAATCAAGATATAAAACAGTTCTTTGGGGACTTTGACCATCACCGATGTTAGTATTTTTAGGAGTGTGTTTGTGTGTGTGTTTTCCTCTGGGACTAACTAGAGTTTCCAAAGAAACATCTATACTCTTCTATGGAGTATTTAAGCCTGGCTGCAAGCCTCTGTGAAGCAAGTAGTAGAAAGTTAGAGGTCTTAACATTTAACATGTAAACTTTCACTTAATCCCCCTGTTTAGAATATGTTCCTCTTACCCTCATTTGTACCTGATGTTTCCTATCGCAAAGACTCTGTTTTAGATTCTCCATATGGTAAAGCCCCAGACTTTTACTGGAATGGGGAAGGACATCTAGGACTCTGTGTCTTAAATGGATATTCATTCATTGTACTTGTTTCCAAGTCCACCTTTTTCCCACTTCTTAAGGCCCTCAGTATTGCCAGTTTCTAAACCTTTGGGGGATTCTGCTTTTCCTCTTTCCTCACTGATGCTTTAGGTTTTGGCTTTCTCAGATCTGCTAAGTTTCTTATCCCTAAAGCTTTGCGTTTCCAAAATGTTGTTGCCATCACCTCATCTTCTCTTCTTTGTCCTTTTGGCAGTTATGCCTTTAAAATATTCCTTACTGTCATTGTAATAGGATTTCAGGGAAAGGTAAATGTAATTGTGTGTGTTCAGTCCATCATCTTTAAAAGTCCCCTTACAGAAAAGAACAAACCCTGTGGCCAAGATCCTTTACCATCTACTTTCTGCCTGTCTCTCCAGCCTCACTTATCACTCCACTGCAGCTCACCCCCAGCCTAAGCTCTAGTCACATGCGTCTACTTAAGTGATTGCCAAACAAATCATGTTGCTCATGCCTTTCAGTTCTGCATGTGCTATTTTCTCAGTGTGCTATTTGCCCTAGAAGGCTCTCCTCAGTGGAGCTTTGCTGGCTTGCATGGGTGCCCCTCTGTCAATGTGCTTATTGTAATACTGCAGTCTTTTATTTACTTTTATAAAAGTCTCATACTAGAGGTTCCTGAACTTGAGGGCACAAGTGGATGGGCTGTCCATGAATTAGCAGCAAGAAGTTTTAGAATACCTTGAAATTGATTGCAGAATTTCATGTGTTTGTACATATTTTTGAAAAATTCAGTTCAACTAAGTCAATTTTTGTTTAACTAAGAATGTGCATTAGAAATACCTGTGGGGCTTCCTAAATGTATACTTGCTTTGGGCTTTTTTCCTGATACCTGCTGAGTGATAGTCTGAAATTAGGGTCCAGGGGAACTCCGTGGTGGCCCAGTGGTTACGACTCCATGACTTCACTGCCGAAGGTCCAAGTTCTATTTCTGGATTAGACCGAGAAAGGTGTATTTTCAAAAAGCTTCCTAAATGATTCTGTAGAACAAGATCTCCATCTGGCCTGGCATACAGTGAATACTCAGTAAATGTATAAAGAAAGGATGAGGGAGAAACTTGGGTTTCAGGCCATGACCTGTGTTAAACTTGAGTGTAAATGGGAAAATTACTAATTTCCTCTGTTACATAAATGGAAATGAAAACAACTCAGTCGTGTCCAACTCTGCGGCCCCATGGCCAGGCCTACCAGGCTCCTCCATCCGTGGAATTTTCCATCCATGAATTCTGGAATGGGTTGCCATTTCATACTTCAGGGGATCTTCCCATCCAGGGATCAAACCTGCATCTCTTGCTTTTCCTGCATTGGCAGATGGATTCTTCATCACTAGCACCAAATGGAAAGCCCCTACATAAATGAAGTCACAGCATCTTTTTTCCGCCCTTTGGATATAATTGGAGGAGTAACAAGGTGCAGGTTATTTTTTTCAAAAGTGGAAGAAAACTCTGGAGAGCTAGTTACATGAATGAAAGAAAAATTTAAAGATTAGATATAAAACAACTCAGATATATATAATCCAATTTTGGGTCCCCTGACTGCTTATGGTTGTTTATGACCCAATGATTTGATTCCAAAATTGTAGGCTTGAATGCGTTTGAATGTCAAGATACCACTACTATTAGACCTGATTTCATAAACTTTAAATTTAATACATGGCTTGTGATAAGGAAAATGGAAAGATTGACATGTTGTCAAAAGTACATGCCATATTATTGTAACTGTTTGCAATTTAAGAACAAGAACAGAATTTTAATTTTATGGAATGCCCTGCCTTGTGCTTCCCTCTGTGTTTAAGGCTTTAAAAAATGTTTAACTTAGAACTACATTCATACCTCAAAGATACTGCAGATTTGGTTTCAGACCACCTTAATATAGCAAGTCACACAAATTTTTGGTTTTCTAATGCATATGAAAGTTATGTTTACACTGTATTACATGTAGTCCATTAAGTGTACAATAACATTATGTCAAAAAATATGAAAATAAAATAAAATCTTTCTTTGACAAGTGCAAAAAAAAAAAAATATGTACATGCCTTAACTTGAAAATTCTTTATTGCTGGTAATTCCCTGGTGGTCCAATAATTAGGACTTTGTGTTTACACTGCATGGGGCATGGGTTCCATACCCAGATGGGAAACATAAGATTTTGCAAGCTGTGCAATTTGGTCAAAAAATAAAAATAATGCTAAAAAATGCTAACCATCATTGGAGCCTTCGACAAGTCATAATCTCTTAGCTGGTGGAAGTTCTTGTCTCAATGTTGATGGCTACTAACTGGTCAGGGAGGTGGATGCTGAAGGTTGGAGTGGCCGTGGCGATTTCCTAATCCTAAATAAGATAGCAGTGAAATTTGCCACACTGATTAACTCTTCCCTTCACAGACAATTTCTCTAGCATGCAGTGCTGTTTCATAGCACTTTACCCACAGCTGAACTTCTTTGAAAATTGGTGTCAGTCCTCTCAATCCTGCCACTTGCTTTATCAGCTAAGTCTGTGAAATATAAATTATTTTGTGTCATTTCAACAGTTTCCACAGCATCTTCACCAAGAGTTGATTCCATCTTAAGGATCTACTTTTTTTGCTCATCCGGAAAAAGCAGCTCCTCATCTGTTAGTTTTATTGTGAAATTGTGGCAGTTCAGTCACATCTTCCAGCTCCACTTCTAATTCCAGTCCTTTTGCTATTTCCACCACATCTGTAGTTACTTCCTCTACTGAAGTCTTGAACCCCTCAAAGTTGTCCATTAGGGTTGGAATCAACTCTTCCAAAATCCTGTTGTTGTTGATATTTTGACTTCCCATGAATCGAAAATGTTCTGTAATGGCGTCTAGAATGATGAATCTGTTCCAGAAGGTTTTCAGTTTACTCTGCTTTGTAGCCTTCCAAAATATATTTTTAAAGTAATTATAAACTTGAAAGTCAAAATTGCTTCTTGACCCATGGATGATTGCAGAATGGATGTTGTGTTAGCAGGCATGAAGACAACACGAATCTCATTGTACATCTCCATCAGAGCTCTTGGGTGACCAGGTGCATTGTGGATGAGCAGTAATATTTTGAAAGGAGTCCTTTTTTTTTTTTTTCCTGAGCAGTCTGTCTCAACAGTGGGCTTATAAACTTCAGTAAACCATGTTGTAAACAGATGTGCTTTCATCCAGGCTTTTTTGTTCCACTTAGAGAGCACAGGTAGAGTTGATTTAGCATAGTTCTTAAGAGCCCTGGGATTTGGGGAATGGTAAATGAGCATTGTCTTCAGCTTAAAGTCATCAGACACATTAGCCCCTAACAAGACAGCCAAACTGTGCTTTGAAATTTTGAAGACAAGCTTTGACTTCTGTCCTAGCTATGAAAGTCCTAGATGGCATCTTCTTCCAACAAAAAGCTATTTCATCTCCATTGAGAAATCTGTCATTTAGTATAGCCACCTTCATTAATTAGCTAGATCCTTTTGGATGCTGCTGCTGCTGCTAAGTCGCTTCAGTCGTGTCCGACTCTGTGCGACCCCATAGACGGCAGCCCACCAGGCTTCGCCATCCCTGGGATTCTCCAGGTGAGAACACTGGAGTGGGTTGCCATTGCCTTCTCCGGATCCTTCTGGATAACTTGCTGCAATTCTACATCAGTACTTACTGCTTCACCTTGCACATCTGTGTCAGAGAGATGGCTTTTTCCCTTAAACTTAATGAATTAACCTCTGCTAGCTTCAGACTTTTCTTCTGGATTTTTTTTTACCTCTCAATGTTTAAAGAAGTAAAAAGAGTTGGGGCCCTGCTCTGGAATAGATTTTGGCTTAAGGGAATATTGTGGCTAGTTTGAACTTCTATCCAGGTCACTAAAACTTTTTCATATCAACAGTGAGGCTGTTTTACTTTACCATTCATGTGTTCACTGGAATGACACTTCTAATTTCCTTAAAGACCTTTTCTTTTGTATTCACAACTTAATTGACTGGTGCACATGGCTTGGCTTTTAGTCTTGTTACCTTTTGACATGCCTTCCTTATTATGGTTTATCATTTCTAGCTTTTGATTTAAGGGGAGAGACTTGTGACTCTTCCTTTCACTTGAACACTTAGAGGCCATGGTAGGGTTGTTCATTAACCTAATTTCAGTATTGTTGTGCCTTAGGGAATAGGGAGAGAGATGGGACTTGCAGTCAGTGGGGCAGTCGGAACACACACATTTATCAATTAAGTTCATCACTGTATGTGGACACATCTTGGTGCTCAAAAACAATTATAGTATTAGCATCAAAGAGCCCTAATCACAAAACACTGTAACAAAGATACTAATGGAGAGGTATGAAATATTGTGAGAATTACCAAAATGTGACACAGACATGAAGTTAACAAAATACTGTTGGAAAAACGGTGCCAGTGGACTTCCTTGATGCACGGTTGCCAGGCTTTGAATTTGTTGAAACAAATCTGTGAAGTGCAGTAGACTGAGGCGTGCCTTATGCGCTCTGCTGTACTTGAAAGCCTCTTGCACGCAGCATAGAGCTGTTGTATTTGTGTGCGCTAAGGAAAGATTAGGCTCTTTCGCTTTTTGTATTTTCTGTTTATTATTTTTATTTTTTGTCTAGGTATTTAAGAGATTATGGCATCTGAAACCCACAATGTTAAAAAACGCAACTTTTGTAATAATACTGAGGATCATTCCATTGATCTTCCTAGAAAAAGGATCTCTAATTTCACTAATAAGAACATGAAGGAGGTAAGTCCATGGTTCCTAGGATTAAGACAGTATCTCAGTCTATGTAGATAGCCACAGCATTATGCCAGAGACTGGATGGCTTATAAACAACAGAAATTTATTTCTCACAGTTAGGGGCTGAGTCATGGCCATAGCAGAGTTGGTATCCAATAAGTGTCTACTTCCTGACTCACAGATAGCTGTCGTCTACCTCCTCACATGGTGGAAGGAGAGAGAGAATTCTCTACTCTCTTTTATAAGGACACTAATCCTGTTCGCGGGGTTTTACCCTCATGACCTAATCACCTCCAGAAAGCCCTCCCTCTTAATACCATCACTCTGGGGAGGGGGTGGTTTAGGGTTTGAACATAGGAATTTCAGGTAAACACAGACATTCAGTTTGATACAGTTTAAACAGTTACGTCTATGGGTGAAAGTGAAGTGAAGTTGCTCAGTTGTGCCCAACTCTTCGCGACCCCATGGACTGCAGCCTACCAGGCTCCTCTGTCCATGGGATTTTCCAGGCAAGAGTCCTGGGGTGGGTTGCCATTGCCTTCTCCGTTAAATCATCTCTAGATTACTCATAATAGTTCAGTTCAGTTCAGTTCAGTCACTCAGTCGTATCCGACTCTTTGCAACCCCATGAATCACAGCACGCCAGGCCTCCCTGTCCATTACCAACTCCCGGAGTTTACTCAAACTCATGCCCATCGAGTCGGTGATGCCATCCAGCCATCTCATCCTCTGTCGTCCCCTTCTCCTCCTGCCCCCAACCCCTCCCAGCATCAGGGTCTTTTCCAGTGAGTCAACTCTTTGCATGAGGTGGCCAAAATTTTGGAGTTTCAGCTTCAACATCAGTCCTTCCAATGAACACCCAGGACTGATCTCCGTTAGGATGGACTGGTTGGATCTCCTTGCAGTCCAAGGGACTCTCAAGAGTAACACCACAGTTCAAAAGCATCAGATAGCATATTAAAAAGCAGAGACATTACTTTGCCAACAAAGGTTTGTCTGGTCAAGTCTATGGGTAGTTCTGAGTAAATGGAAATATGATAGTTTTGCTTAATCTGCCCAAATTAGGTAGAATTAATAAAAAATTGAAATCTGTTTATATTCCAAAATCTAAAAACTTTTTGGCCACTATATTGTTTTGATATGATACAATTTAAATATTTTAGTTTAATTTTAGAGGAATCACAGAAGTGCTTTTTGTTCACCATTGCAAGGCTCGTTAGCACTGGTATAATTTCTTAAAACCATATTAAAATTCAACACATTTATTTAGCACCCTGCATATCTTAATATATGACTAGTAGCATGGAAGCTAGTCAAACAGATATGTTGCATTGTCAATAATACATTCAATGTTGTAACTAATAATTGAAAGTACAGCATCAGTACAGTAATATCTTTATCTGAAAACTTTAACTTGAATTTTAGACTTGTTGACATCAATCACAAAGTTTACATAGCTTGGTTAAATAACTTAAATATGCTGCAACTGTCTACTTGTGATTTTCAGGTTAAGAAGTCTCCAAAACAGTTGGCTGCTTACATAACTAGGTAAGAACTTCTTTGAAATTTGTGGGAAACAGCAAGTATTGAAAGCTGGATAAGAGGAAAAATAGGAGAAAAAAATTCTGTGTTTTAGTATGATAATTTATTGTCAAGCAACTCCTTTGTGCCAAACACTGTGCTAACAAATCAGATAAGATAGATAGGTACCATTACCCCAAACAGGTGATAAGTTGGAAAAAAAAAAAAGGTTTTGGCTTTCTTTAGGGTTATACACCCAGAAGGTGGTAAAAGCGACATTTACTTTCAGGTCTCCTGAACTCCAAAGGCACTTTCCATTAAACCACTGGTTCTCAAACTATGATCTGGGACCCTGGAGGTCCCTAAAGCCCTTTCAAGGAGTTTATGACATCAAAACTATCTTCATAACAACGCATATGTGTTAAGTCACTTCAGTCATGTGCCTGTGACTCTTTGTGACCCTATGGACTATCGCTTGCCAGGCTCCTCTGTGGGATTTTCCAGGCAAGAGTACTGGAGTGGGTTGCCATTTTCTCCTGCGGGGAAAAATAATAAGCCATTATTAACCTTCATTTTCACACTGTTCCAAGTGTACAGTAGAGTTTTCCAGAGGCTACATGATATAAGATATTGAGTACAGAAACAGATATGAGGATCCAGCTGTTTTCTGTTAAACCAGATATTAGAGATTTTGCACAAATGCAAAACAGTGCCATTCTTCTCACTATATTTTTTGTTTGTTTTAGAAAATAAAGGATTTTTTAAAAATATTCTATATAATATATAATGAGTTTATCATTTTTTAATTAATTAACAAATTTTCTGTTTTAGTTTCTGATTCATCAAATACCAGTAGATATTGCTCACAAAAAAAATTTTTGAGACATCAGTGATTTGAATACAAAGCATCCTGAGGCCAAAACGTTTGAGAGCCACTCTACTAAACCATGAGATGTGCTGTCTGTTGTTTTATCTTATTCAAACAAATTAAATATATTTTGGTTTCATCAAAATAAGTGTTCTCTTTTATATTAAAGTATATATTCAGACTTGCATGATTCAAACTTGCATAATTATTGTGTCACCTTGTTAGAAAAAGATTAGGTGAATAGAAATTGTTTTAATTTTCATACTTCGTGAATGCATTGTAACATTTCATTTTAAAAACATCTAGTTGCTTTGATGTTTTCTTTTCTTTTTGGTCCAAAGTATCATCCTTTTCATTGCTTTCCAGATAGTTTGTAATTTCCCTTTTATTTTTCTCTTCAATCTAAGACTTAAGATTTTTTAAAATTATTCTGCTTCTAATTTTAGTAGATAGTGATCACAGAATGTGGCCTACTAAGTCTGTCTCTTTAAAAACTTTTAAAGCTTTTCATATGGTTCTTTATCATTTAAGAAAATCAATTCTTTTTACAGAACAGTTGGACAAGCTGTGAAAAGCCCAGATAAACTACGTAAGGTGATCTATAGAAGAAAGAAAGTTCATCTTCCTATTCAAAATCCTTGTTACAGAAAAAAGCAGTCCCCTAAAAGTGGGGGCTGTGTCATGGCAAATAAAGAAAATGAACTGGCTTGTGCAGGCCACCTCCCTGAAAAATTACGGCATGATAGTCGAACATATTTGATTAACTCCAGTGATTCTGGTTCTTCACAGACAGAAAGCCCATCATCAAAATATAGTGGCTTTTTTTCTGAGGTAAGTCACTTATATAAACTTAACTTTTTTTTTTAATTACTGGCTTTTTCCTTCCTATAGACTCCTAGTAAAATAATTCACTGTTTATTGAATTCAGACTATTTGAGAGATTTTAACTCCCTGCAACAGTTTTCTAGATTAACGAAATTTGAATCTGTTGTTTATTCTGTTTTTCTAAGTTAGGGATGAAATGATTGACAAGCTGCTATAAATTTCCAGAATGGCAAGTTAGCCAGTAGAGATTTAAAGAAAGGGAAGAGATCAGAAATCTTGCATAAAAAGTGGGCCACGGAGCCAGATGTATAGGCACATTTTAGTGGGCTGTCAAAATTGCCACTGGAAACTTTGTTTAGACAAACCTGCTTAGTTTTGCTGCTCTTCTGACTCAGGAGCAGCTGCTATTTGTTTGAACAGGCTTATGGGAATTGTTTTGGGTAGTAGAAATGTTCTAAAACTAGACCGTGGTGATGGTTGCACAACCCCATACAGAAATTTATTTAAAATCTTTGAATTACTTACTTTCAATATGTGAGTTTTATGGTATATAAATTATAACTCAGGAAAACAAATTTTTTTTAAATGGTCATTTGAAAGAATGGTTTGATGAAAAATTTATAAACACATAAGTTTAAAATAATTAAAATTATTACATTTATTGTATATATTGTAGAAAATAAATCTAAAGGAAACAGTTATCCATAAGCTTACCATCTATAGATAGCAATGTTAAATTTTTGATGTCTCTTTTCATATACATATTGTTTGATAACTTGGTTTTTATGTTTAATAAATTTTAATATTTTTCCATCTAATTAGATAGCATTTGTATGATTTTTCCCTTCCAGTTTTACTGAGATATAATTGATATACAGCATTTGGTATACACATAATTATTTGAGTTAAATATGTCATGAAATGATCACCACATTAAGTTTAGCAAACATTCATCATGTACAGATACAAAATTTTAAAAATGGAAAAAGAATTTTTTTCCTTGTGCTGAGATCTCTTAGGATTTGCTTTCTTAACAGCTTTTATATATAACACACAGCAGTGTTCATTGTATTTACCAAATTATACATTACATTGCTAGTACTTAGAGCTGGAAGTTTGTACTTTTGACTGTCTTCATGCAGTTCATCGTCAACCACTCATGCATGCCTCTGGTAATCAGAAATCTGATCTTTTTCTGTGAGTTTATTTGTTTATGAGTTCAGTTCAGTCGCTCAGTTGTGTCTGACTCTTTGTGACCCCATGGACTGCAGCATGCCAGACCTCCCTGTCCNTTTGGAACCAGTCTGTTGTTCCATGTCCAGCTCTAACTTTTGTTTCCTGACTTGCATACCGATTTCTCAAGAGGCAGGTTAGGTGGTCTCGTATTCCCATCTCTTTCAGAAATGGGAATTTATGAGTTTATGCGTTTGTTTTTATATATAATAGACATACAACACTATGTTAGTTACTGATATACAGTGTAGTGGTTTGATATTGCTGTATATGCTGAAATGATTACCACAGTAGTCTAGTTATCATCTGTCACCATACAAAGGTATTACTGACTCAGCCACCAGGGAAGCCTAATTAATGGATACATAACATTACAGTGCATGAATGTACCTTAATTTCTTAAACTGTGATTTGGTAAACTTAGTATTGTTTCTCTCTGACATGACAGTTCGAAAAACATTTTTTATGGCATACAAGCAAAAAAAAACCTTTATATTAAAATCATCATAAGTATGTAGATGAATAAAAATGAACATCATATGTAGGATAATAATTACAAGTAAATAATGTGAAAGAAAGTAAAAATCAAAGTGTTACTAACTAAAACCATAATGATAACAAAAAAGGATTCCATTTGTCAGTGAAAATGTTCTTGTAAAAATAAGATCCCGGAGTAATAGAAAGTTAGTTATGCTAGGAGAGGTGAAGTAAGTGTCTGTAGTATCTGTGAGAAAAGAGCGAGCAAGGAGAATTTGACTTAGTAGTGAATTTTCATGAGCCCTGGAAAAACAGATGGTACCTAAACCTTAGTGGTAAAATTGAGGATCGCTGTCATACTAATTCATTCACAAATATTTATTTGATGGCTCCCTGCTGTGCAGTGTATTCTGAGGCTCTGAGAAACAGATTGGTGGGTGAAAAACAGACACTGGCACTTCTTTCACGTAGTTATAGAAGTGATGAAACCAGCACAGATTAGAAAATCAAAGAAACTACATACCCTGATCCAGAAATATGGCCTAGATTGGGACCTGCATTGGATACTCAGTTGAACTGAGGCAGTAAAGATTCTTAGTGAAAATGCCTTTTTAAAAAAAAAAAGCTTCAGTTGAACATTTGTATTAGTGCCACATTTTTTTGTGTGTGGCATTTTTAAAGGCCCTCCTTTTTACTTAGCTTCCATTTTGACTGCTTTCCACAAACCTTCATTAACCCTGTGCTTAACTAATAGTATTAATTGTTCTTTTGTTGTTTCAGACTTTTTTTCCTGATTGGCTAGTGGCTTCTCTGAAAACCTAAATTTAAAAGTGATGCTCTATTATTTTGTCTAAGTTCAAATATACACAACATTTTCATCCAACATTTGCACTCCCAGGTATATACCCAAGAGAATTGAAAAGGCCACACAGATACTCATCAGATACTCATAACACTTTTTAATAGCCCCAAGTGGAAACCATCCAATTGTTTATCACCTGACTTGGATAAATAAAATCTCATAGGCCATATAATAGAATATTATTTGATCATTAAAAAGGAGTAAAATCCCAATATATGCTATACTGTATATAAATCTTGAAAACATCTCTGTGAAAGAAGCCACACATTAAAGAAGGTCATATATTATATGATTCAGTTTATGTGAATCATCCAAATTAGGTACAGCTCAGTTGGTAAAGAATCTGCCTGCAGTGCAGGAGACCCCAGTTTGATTCCTAGGTCGGGAAGATCTGCTAGAGAAGGGATAGGCTACCCACTCCAGTATTCTTGGGCTTCGCTGATGGCTCAGCTGGTAGAGAATCCACCTGGAATGTGGGAGACCTGGGTTTGATCCCTGGGTTAGGAAGATCCCCTGGAGAAGGAAAGGCTACCCATTCTGATATTCTGGCCTAGAGAATTCCATGGACTGTATAGTCCATGGGGTTACAAGGAGTCAGGCATGACTGAGTGACTTTCACTTTCATAGAGACAGAAAATAGACTAATAGTTGTGAATAGCTGGAGAGAGGGGAGAATGGAGTCCAGGGTTTCTTTTGGAAGTGATGAGAAGGTTCTAAAATTCATTGTGGTGGTGCTTGCACAACTCTGAATGTACTAAAAATTACTGAATTGTGCATTTTAAATGGGTCAATTTATGTTATATGAATTTATCTTAATTTGTTATTGAAAAAAATTGGATCTAGCTATTCCAGCTCTAAAATTAATCCTACAGAAGTTTTTGTACAAGTGTCCATATTTACATACATAAGGTGTTCATTGATTCACAGTTTTAGTAGGGAAATACCAGAATCAGTCTAAAATTGTGGTTCATAAAGACTGGCCAATATGTAATTGTTTCTTAGAAATGAGACTGATTTATGTGTTGTTGTTTTCCTTCAAAAAGTGTTTTTATTTCACATTTTGATACATACTACATCTGGAGTTTTAAGTTTTTTTATGTTAGGAAGTAGTGTCATTCATTGTTTTCCAAATGGATTTTCAATTTATCTGATCTATTAAGAAATTTTTAAAATTATATTTATCGTAAATTGTTAGTTGTATATACATTTGTCTATATCTGAAGTTTCTTTAACGTGCTATTATTTGTCTATCTTCTTGTCAGTGTCACATTGTTTCAGTTGCTATGGTTTTGTAATATATTTTGATGTTATTGTTTAGTAACTAAGTCATGTCTGATTCTTTGGCAATCCCATGGACTGTAGCCCACTAAGCTCCTCTGTCCATGCAATTTTCTAGGAAGAATAGTGAAGTGGGTTGCCATTTCCTTCTCTAGTGATCTGCTTTGATATTGAAAAAAATCTTTCATATTGTTTAAGTGAAAAAACAGTTCTCAAAAATATAGATATTAGAATATTTTAATTTTTTTCCTGCCTAATTTATCTTTGTCTAGAAAGTGGTTTGAAAGATACTTACCAGTATGTTAACAGTGATTACTTCTCAGGAGCTAAATAAATATTTTTGTGGATAAGTAGAAAATACTTATTTTATAAAGTTTTGTGCTACTTGAACTTTTTGCAACAGGAATGTGTTACCTTAATTATATAGAAAAAAATGAATGAATTTAAATCTTGTCATAAAACTGAATTTTTGTGATTCCCTATTCTTCCTAATTAGTTGATAATGACTAGCCTGTATGGTTACCTTTTCCTTTAATTCACATTATAAATTAAATCCTAGGTTTGTAGGTGAGTAAAAAAATTTATTCTATGAATTATTGAGATTTAAAAGGAAATAGTAACAAATAAGAAAATGTATTGATAAAAAATTAACAGGTCCTAAATTGTTTCAAATCATTTGTTTACTATGTTCACTGCAATATTTCTTTTTGTGGACCAGTAAAAGGAATTACCTTTGCTTAATTTTAAAATATGTTTACCAGAATAATTTAATTGAAAAAGATGATTTTTTGTCATACCTCGATGTGCTTTTTAACAGATTATTGCCTTTCAGGTTTCTCAGGACCATGAAACAATGGCACAGGTTTTGTTCAGCAGGAATCTGAGATTGAATGTAGCTTTAACTTTCTGGAGAAAGAGAAGTATTAGTGAACTTGTAGCATATTTGGTAAGGTAAGTGTGACCCTTACTGATTTTGTTCAGTAAAAGTGGTTTCCAGTGTGTTATCTCTTCTTTTTTATGCTATACTGGTTAAAGTTTTAAACTTCCTGTGTTTAGCTTTATAGTGATAATATGTTTTAAATTATATTTATCTACAGTCTAATTAACCAAAATACAGAAAACTGTTTGTTTTATCATATTGAACAAACATTTTACCTTCTCTGACTAAGATTCTTATCTATAAAACTAAGAGATACCATTATGCAAAAACCAACCTTTCAGTAAAAATTTTAACCATTACTTTCTCACTGTATTTGTCTCCACAAATGCTACCTTGGTGAGGCCTTCCTTGACCACCTTATTTAAATATATATGTTTTTTCACTCTCTATCCCTCTTTTCCATTTTATTTTTTCCACAGTACTTGTCACCATCAGCATGCTTTATGTACTTGATTTGTTTATTGTCTGTTACTGCCCTCTCCACCCTCCTCCCATACTCACACACGCTTTGAAAAACAAGCCCTGTCTCTCTGTTCACTGGTGTATCCCTAACACTTGACTCATCATAGACACTCAGATCATTTGTTCAATGAGTAAATTTCTCAAAAGCAGTGTGATGGTTATAATATAAAAGGAAATAAGGAAATCAGCTCTCTAAGCAGTTTTGTTCCCACAGGATAGAGGACCTTGGAGTTGTGGTGGATTGCCTTCCCGTGCTCACCAATAGGTAAGAAGACTAGTTTTCAGAAAAAAAAGGAAGTTTAAAGAAGAACAGATTACAACCTGTTCATATTTTTATAAATTAGTATTTATTTATTTTAGTTTACAGGAAGAAAAACAGTACATCTCACTTGGCTGCTGTGTAGATTTGTTGCCTCTAGTAAAGTCACTACTTAAAAGCAGATTTGAAGAGTAAGTGCTAATCTGAATCTCAATTCATTTTTCTCTTTCATCATCCTTGATTTTGTGCCATACTAGTACATAATAGTAGATTGAGCTCCCTGAGACATATGTGGTTTCTGTTTTAAGAATATAGACTGACTAAAGAACAATTAGAAAATTATCTATAAACATGTTACATAAAATGCAGTTTGGTGAAAGTAGTGAAAAATTAATTTATAAAGGTGTGTCTGTATGTTTTTTAATCAGTGTGTATGCATATTTTTGTGTGTGTGTGTGTATGCATTTTTTGAGGCAGGTAGAGTATCATCTTTTCTAAAAGGCTTCTTGGATGAAAACACTTGAATTTTGTAACGAAATGTCATTTCAGGTATATAATAGTTGGTTTAAACTGGCTTCAAGCAGTCATAAAAAGATGGTGGTCAGAACTGTCATCCAAAACAGAAATTGTGAATGATGGGTGAGTATACCTTTAAAGATAAATTTGTGTTACTGAAGACTTTTTTTTTTTTTTATTCAGGAAAGTAGCATGATTAACTTAGGTGATAATTTTATTTTATGATTATCAGTTGTTCATTTGCTAAGTTGTGTTCAACTCTTTGCAATCCCATGGACAGAAGCACTCCAGGCTTCTCTGGTCTTCACTATATCCCAGAGTTTGCTCAAATTCATGTCAGTGATGCCATCCAACCATCTCATCCTCTGACACTCCCTTCTCCTGCCTTCAGTCTTTCCCAGCATCAGGGTCTTTTCCAGTGAGTTGGTCTTTCACATTAGGTGGCCAGAGTATTGGAGCTTCAGGTTTAGTATCAGTCCTTCCAGTGAATATTTAGGGTTGATTTCCTACGGGATTGACTGGTTTGATCTTGCTGTCCAAAGGACTCTGAAGAGTCTTATCCAGCCCCACATTTCGAAAGCATCAATTCTTCGGCACTTAGCCTTTTTTATGGTAGACCTCTCACACTCATACACAGCTACTGGAAAACCATAATCTTGACTGTATGGACCTTTGTTAGCAAAGTGGTATCTCTGTTTTTTAATATACTGTCTAGGTTTGTCATAGCTTGTCTTCCAAGGAGCGAGTGTCTTAATTTCTTGGACTGCAGTCACCATCCTCAATGATTCTGGAGCCCAAGAAAATAAACTCTACCACTGTTTCCAGTTTTTCTCCATCTATTTTCCATGAAGTGTTGGGACCAGATGCCATGATCTTAGTTTTTTGAATGTTGAGTTTTAAGCCAGCTTTTTCACTCTCCTGCTTAACTTTCATCAAGAGGCTTTTTAGTTCTTCTTTGATTTCTGCCATTAGAATGGTATCATCTGCGTACCTAAGGTTGTTTCTTCTGGCAGTTTTGATTCCAGTTTGTGATTCATGCAGCCTGGCATTTTGCATGATGTGCTCTGCATAGAAGTTAAATAAGCAGGGTGACAGTATACAGCCTTGACATACTCCTTTTCCAGTTTTGAATGAGTCTGTTTTTCCATGTCCAGTTAAAAATGCTGCTTCTTGACCTTCATAAAGCTTTCTAAGAAGGCAGGTAAGGTGGTCTGGTATTCTCATCTCAAAGAATTGTCCACAGTTTGTTGTAATCCACACAGTCAAAGGCTTTAGCATGGTCAGTGAAGCAGATTGTCAGTATATAGTACTTATTCTCTTCATTTTCAGAGAAATAATAAATTGGGATACCATTCATATTTGGAATGTTACATGTGAAAGTTGAATTCCAGAGCCCAGTAACCCCCTGTGTCTATTGTTCTGGCAGAACCACACCCTTTGGAAGGCAAAAGCACAGACTTACATCCATTATATATATTTTGGGAGGCAAAAGCACAGACATATCCATTATAAAGTAGTGAGAGACAAAATCTTTATATCCATTATAAAGGAGTGAGAGAAAAAAAAAGGGATAACCTTTGGTGGAGTAAAATTGAGACCCAGGAATGGAGTCATCCTGGGGGCGTCCTTTGGCTATCTGGGTCAGATAGCCAAAGGACATTAACATAAGAATCCAGTGTGGATGATTACAGTTCTAAAAACTGAATTATAATCATAGTTTGAGTATTGTCTTGATGTGAAAGTATGTGGGTGTTCTCCCAAGTGAGCCAGATTATCATGAAACTACAAAATATATATATATCCCAACAGTTTCCTTTCAGTCCATAATTTGCTTTCTAGGCTCTCAGAATTTCCCCACTTCATACCCAAAAACTGGATGTCCAAATGTCCCAAATGCTTCATTGTTTTCTTGCTTGCTTTAACAACTGAGTAACCTTTAATTTCCATGATTGACATGTACTAGTTTAAAGAGTTGCTTGACTTCAAATGGTATAATTTTATCCTGAAGAAGACTTGAAAATTTTAAAGCTGTTTTCATTAAGTATATTAGCTACCAAATTCCATAACTTACTATATTTGTATTTTTTCTTTTTTTCTCCTAGAAATATTCAGATTTTAAAACAGCAATTAAGTGGGTTGTGGGAACAGGAAAACCATCTTACTTTGGTTCCAGGATATACTGGTAATATAGCCAAGGTAATCTATATTTAAGCTTAACGAAAACTTTGGGATAATGTAATAGTATTATGCAGTCATAAATGAACTCATTTGAATGTCCTGTTAAGTACTGCTCTAATAAGGTCTAAAGTCAGTTTCATATTTATAAATACTTAAGGTGCTCTGGATATGAATATGACTTTGGCAAGGAACACAAGAATTAGTCATTGAATGTGTTTCATATACAGCAATATGTGCTAGTAGGTATTTAATGACCTTGCTCCAATTACAGAAAAATATTTGGAAAAAAGTTAAGAACCCAGGTTAGGAAGGCATCTGAAATGGCAGTGATACTCAGGAAGCAAGGGGTGAGGAACATAGTCAAATAGTTTGGGAGTATTTTTAACTTGGCTTTTGCTAATGCCATACTTTTAGGGGAAAGTTAAATTGTTCAAATCACAATATGAATTTGACATCATTCTTTATTGATTTGGTTGATCTTAAAGGAAAAAGTACATTACTATTTTGGATTTTTAATATTTAGACTCCAGAAAACATTGGTAGTTAAAATATAATTGCAAAAGTAAACCATTATTAAAAAATATTTCCACCCTTATATTGGGCATACTGCTATCATATAAATGGGCATTAAGCAGAAATATAACAACTTCCTCTGGTTTAAAAAATATCATATTCTTTAAAAAAGGATTTATGTCTCAGACTGACTTAAAAAATTTTTCTTGAAATACCTTCATGAAAGGAAGGATAATCTTGTATCAAGCAAATATGTTATACCAATGTGTATAATTTTACTCTGTAGAATTCTTAATGATGAAAATTTTATGAACAGAAACAATTTCCTAAATTTTTAAGTTATTTTATCTGTTGTTCTTTTGTTAACAGGAGGGAAAATGAAGTAAAAGTTAATAGAAAATAGAATACATGATAAATCACATTATTCTGAAAGTACCTTGTATTCTTAGTAGTAGAACTGAAAGATTATTTCTTTAGAAATTTGCAAGGTACTGTGTTTGTTATTGTAAACAATATTGAGTAATTAAAAGTTCTGTGAAGTTCCTTAAGCCATGATAAAACCTCCTTAACAATATTATACCCTCACTGTAATTTTTTGAGGGTAGAAATCAGAATGGCCATCATCAAGCTGGCCTAGCATTTATTTAGCACTGAAGGAACTGCTGTGAATGATGTAATGATCTTGCTTAGCTATAAAAGCAGAGTTGTTTGATAACAGAAGCTAGAACATTCCTTAAGCACTTTGCAAACACTTCCTGAGCACATGCTATGTGCTACCAAAGTGTGGATAAAATGTTGAGTAGGGCAGATCTTTTGCACTCAAAGGGTCACTAAGGCAAAACAAGTGACAAAAAGGGAGAAGAAAATGGGGTGTGTATATGTGTATTTACAGTACTGGCTAATGAAATGTTTCTGTTTTATTCTCCAAGGATGTAGATGCTTATTTATTACAGTTGCATTGAGAGACTTCATCTATAGCATTTGGCTATTCAAAACATCCTTGGACTATATGATTTCCCCAAAAATATCTCATCTGAGAACTGTGAACTATGGAAGAAATCAAAACCATTTTTTCCTTTAAAGAAACGTATGATGAAACCACTAATGAAATGCTACCGATCTCCTTCACATTGAAGTGGAAAAAGATCCAAGAGGAGCAGCTTCAGCTTTGGTGCGGGGGAAGTGCACTAGGAAGGTCGTTCACCTTTGCTGCGTTCAGGTTTACGTGGTTATTTGGTAACATGTTTAAGAGCTACTGGGTCTTCATGCAATCCTGCATAAGAATATAATTTATACTATGTGGAAAATAAGACAGGACTTACTACTAGGAATCACAGAGACCAATCATCGTTACTTTTTTTTAAGATTGTGTTTTATAAGAAAACACTTAAATGTGTGCAGCTACTATTTTCTTATGTTGAAAAGACTTTGAAAGTTTAAACCATTATAGCAAATAATCAGTACTAAAAGTTTTTTGTTCACACTGAGATACTGTGTATGCAAAATGCCTTAATTATTAATAAGCCAATGTGTATGATACCAATATCTGTTTAAGAAAATTAAAAGCAACCATGCTTCTGGCATGATAAAATCATGGAATTAAATCAGGGGTTTCCATTCATGTAGAATGTTGTTAAAACTTATTCCACACTACTCTTAAAACTTGAGAATATTTTTAGTATCTCTGATTTTTTTTTTTTTGCCAGAATCATGTCATATATGTATGTATGTGTTACTCCTATATATAAGAAAAAGGTGGATCTGTATTTGTATGAATGCTTAACTGGAAATGTCTATGGAATTGACTAATTTATATTCACTTTTTATTGTATATAGATTTCTGATATTTTCAGTTCTGTATCATTTAAGTTTTCTTCATTTGAGTAAATTCACTAAATATTTCTATTTTTTGCTTTTTTAAGTTCTGATTTTATATGAATTCTACTTTTTTTCACTACATATGTTTAAAGAATTACATACAATGCTTTAGAAATGTTTACACTTAGTGCTGACCTTGTATTTTAAATTCCAATACTTTACTACCTCCTCCAAAGGTTGGTATGAAATGCCAGCAGACTGTATGAGGTCTCTCTTTTATTTTAAGACCAGTTTTAGTATCAGAGAACCCACTTCTGGAATGTCTTTAACAGCTGCATACATTACCTTGAAAGTAATTGGGGTTTAAATACCACTGTTGGTGGTTCGCATATCGTCTCATCTTTAATAAGCCTGAGAGGCATCTGAACAAAAACTTTTAGTAATTGAATTTCTGTGCAGTAATCCTTTTAAGCACTTGAATGTAAATCTTTAGCATTTACCCAATTAGCCACTACTAATGTGAATCTGAAACATGCATCTTCTTGCTTTAAAAAATGTTTTTTCACTGAGTTCTTTTTTGTATAGCTATATTTTATATAGCTATGTATTCCTCAGAGTGAACATCAGTTGTAGTAATTAATTATTCTCTAAAGATTTTAGATTAGAATAATTTCAGGTTACTGCATTTCTGGGTTTTGAAAGTTGAGTTATTTAAGAAGTCATTTTTCAGGGGGTGGAAATTTGAATTGTAAACCTGCATCATCTCTGTGAAACCTTAAGATGATGAAATATAACCTTTCTTTGTTCCTGTTCCTTTAGTTTTCACTCTCTTATCTTACAGTTTCAACCAGTTAATACAGTTGGTACATGGTGCTAATGAGGCTAAAGACAGGACTTTGGTCCTTTTAAGTGTTTGTTAACTTTACACACATACACAGAACTGTTCATGGCTACAGATTGCACCTTAAGCATCCATCTCACAAATTCAACACTTGTTCACAAGGAAGATGGTGTGTACAAAATAACACAAACCCTTCAATGGAAAGATAATTCAAATAATTGGCACATGGGAAACTATAGACTTTTAATCTAATATTTAAAATAATGTAATGTCTAAAATTCTGTGTCATTATAGTTTTCTCTGGTTAAGATCAATGACTAAACAGTGTCTTCTGAAAACCAAACTTGAATTAATCAAACTTCAGTAAAAATTAGGTACAAATAACAAATGAAACAGTAAGAAAAGGTATTATCTTGTTAATACATTAGTACAAATACAAATGAAATATTGTAAGAAAAAGTATTTCCCTGTTATGCTGAGTTTGAGTTTCTTAAAGGATAGTAGATAATACTTCATTTTTACATATTCAGAGCTATATGAGGCAGCAGTCTTTAGCTCATAAATACTATTCAGTGGCCCACACTCCCAATTTTTGTTCTTGGCCTTTGCAGTTTACCTTAGTACCTACCTCTCTCTGTTATTGGGTTATGATTAGTATTAGGTGACTTTAAGACTCTTGGATAAAAGATAAGTACATATTGTTGAACCCTTACATTGCTATCAAGTCCTTCTCATGCTGTTGAATCAGAACAGTGTTGACCTCCAGAAAGAGCCAAAGAAAGTGTTTCCGGAGTATTTTGGCTGTTGTATTGACCTAGATTAGAACAGTTGCTGTCTGTCATCACTCTGTGCTGCTCACAGAGTGAGCTGTGCTGCTAAGCAATATAACCGAAGGACTACCCAGCGTCTCTATGCCTTTCTGTCTCTTCTGCCTTATTCAGTTTTTTTGAGATGGTAGAGGGTTATAATCAAGTAATTTGCTTCTCCTAGAGGTAAAGTAAATGATTTTATAATGAGTGTTCAGAGAAAAGTTAAAAGTTAGGAAGCAAGCATTTTCCATGGTTTTAAAAACATCTTTTGGTGGTAATTTCAAAGGTAATTAACATACATTATTTACATGAATCCTGAGGTGTGAGAATTTGGATATAAATATCTGTACCCACTTTGAATCATTAATATCAGCACTGAACTTTAAGGGCCACTGAGGAATTAAATCTTAATGCCCCTAAACATATGTGGTACGTGTCTTGTCCTAACCTTAAAAATGGTTGTGTGGCTTCAAAGCTATATATTTGGACTTTGAAATAATTTCCTCAAACTTAGACCATTTCTATATTTGACAAGTTGTTGATATAATTAATATCAATGGAATCTAATTTGAGTAATGATTATTAGCTGTTAAATGCTGATAATAGAAATTATATTTAAATGTTTATTTAGTTACTTAAGGAGTTTGATAAAACAAAATTTAAGCTAACATTTTGGTAGTCATTCCCAGTTATTTTTTTCTTCCTATTTAAGAACAAAATGGTAATTTCAGTTGCCTTTTTTGATTTAAAGAAAAAAAAAATAGAATCACAAACTGTTGACTCAACTGGAATGATCTATTTGGATGCACTACTTATCTTTCAAGACAGACTTTTATTTTCTAAATTATTTCGGATGAAAATAGTATTGCTGGACATTTTGGTAGGTATTGACTTCTATGTTATTCTTTTGCCCTTAATTTTTAATTCTTCTAGCTGTGGAAATTGTCATAGAACTTTGTGACACACTATTCCCCCTCCTTTTTTATTCTGTAACAGGCATATAGAATAAAAAGTTCATCCTTAAACACTGTATGGTTCTAATGTGTAATATGACTTGATTGATTCAGTAATAGCACCAAGGATAACAATAAGAATAAATACTGCATATCATATATCCAGTATACGAGTGCATTTTCCAAAAATGTACTTAATATTTAAAATTATGGTATTCATCATAATTTTCTCTTGAGTCAGATCATTGAATTGACAGTAAATGCTAAAATCAAACTTTACTAAAAATTAAGTACAGTTACAGATGAAACAGTATATAGCACAGTATTTACTTTTATAGACTGTACTCATAAAACAGGAAAAGACATTGTTACTAAGTATCAGTAGTTCTGTGAAAGGGCAGCCCCACCGCTGCCAGTATTTTTTATAGCAATGCTTATTATGTATTCTTTGATATGAAGAGTTACTATTCTCTGAACTATGAAGTTTTCTGTTGGGAGATACTGAGTCTAGATAAGCAGTCAGCCTCTAAACATGCTTGAGCTACTGTTCAAGTTCTGTGCTTTACGGTATTCTGTATTTTCATTCAGATTTAAACCAGGATTTCTTTTTTTCAATATCCTAGACCTGGTCAACATCATTGTGACACTCTGGATTTACACAAAAGCTAAGAAGAGTTGATCCAGATATTTTCTAGGGTAAGAAAGTTGTTGTGGGAGTCATAAAAAACATCAAATTTCTAGAGTTAACTTGCTTCTAGAATTACTATATTGCACTTATCAAGCAAACTTGTAACTTGGGGCCTGGATGGGAATTAGTCTTCACTTTCCAAAAATCAGAAGCAGAGTTTGCGTCCATTTACTTTTCTACTTTCATTTGAGAAAGAAAGTAAAGGGAGAAGAGAAGAAAGAAAAATTTGCAAAAAAACTTCATGAGACCTCTGTGTAAGTCATTTGAACAGGTGAAAGAGGACCCACCTCAGCTCCCACTTGCCCTGCAGTGCATTCACTGTTTCCTCTCTGTACAACTGTAGTCTAGCCTCAACAACAGCAAGAGAAATGCAAGTTAATACCTTTCTTTTAGGCAGATTCTAAAGCTTACAAGAGGTTTTTAAAGATGCTTATTTTTTTCCCTTAGCCATCCAGATTCCTTTTCCCTTAGAGGACAAGAAACCAGTGAAGGAAGAAACCAGTTCACCTCTCAGTTTCCTCTTTTGGAGACCTCCCTGCCTCTCTCTTAGACATTGGTATCCTTCAAAGTTCTGTGTTAAACTCTTCTCACTCTACCATTTCCCTGAAAAGCATTGTTTATTCCCGTGGCATCCTTACTGTCAACATTAACTGTTCTCATTTGGGGGTGGGAGGGAGGTTATTTTCTGACTGATCAAATAGGCATGGATATTTTAAAAGGTTGAGAAAACATTGAACTGTATGTTTATCATTCTCAAATCAATATCTTGCTCTAAACCCAAATCTTAGCTCATCCATTATATATATCCAATTGCCTGCTGGAAACATTCATCGGGTTATCATTTAGACATCCTAAATAAAATACTATCCATAATTGACCTCATTCTCCCACCTCCACTCCCTTCTACCAAACTGTCACCTAGTCCCCGCCCCACCACTACCACCTAGGGTCTTGGATTTCCATTCTCATTGAATATTCCTGATATCAGTAGTTATCAAGCCACAAACATGAGTCAACTTTGAATCATCTCCAGATCATTCATCAAATCATGTTGGTGCAACCCCCTAAATTTCTCTCATCTTGCTGCATCTCTTCACTTCTGCCATTACCGCCTGCAATGCAGGAGACCTGGGTTTGATCCCTGGGTTGGGAAGATCCCCTGGAGAAGGGAAAGGCTACCCACTCCAGTATTCTAGCCTGGAGGATTCCATGGATTGTATAGTCCATGGGGTCACAGAGTCAGACACAGCTGAGCGACTTTCACTTTAGTGTACATTATTCCAGCAACCTCCAGACTGGATTCTCTCAATAGTACCACCTCTCTGCCCCTCCCAATGCTCCAGCTAGAAAGAACTTGTTTCAGTTTCTAGAAAACATTACTCTTCCTCTGCAAATGTTTGTCAGAACACTCTTCTCCTGAAGTTCACCCATTTATCACTTTCTTAGCCTTCAGGCCTCAGTGTAAACACAGTACATCTGGGAAGCATTCTCTGAAGCCTCTTCTGCTGTTAGAGGCTCTGCCCACATTTTCATCTCAACTCTGTTTTTAAGAGCATGTAGTGCTTTGCAATTGCTTATTATCTGTCATCCCAAATAGATTAATAGTTGTTTGAGACCAGGGTCCATGTTCTCTGTCACATTCTCAGGACTTAGCATTTACCCAGCCTTAACAAGAAAAACCAATTAAATCCTAAGAAAAAAGAAGCAAAGGGGGAACCGAATTGGAAAAAACCCGGGGGAAAAAAGAAATTAAGAAACCAAAACCAATTTGAAAATGGCATAGCAACTAAAAGAGA